GAACAATTCATATTAATTGTGTGAAACAGCATCTATAGGCTGATGAGATTTGAAAAGGATAAACCCGAAGTTTTGTTAATATAGACAGGGATTATCTGAGGATAATTTGATTTTTCAAAGAGGCTACACAAAATTGTAGCTGTGGGTTAGAGTCAGTGAGAGGTAAAAGTTCAGCATTGTTTAACCTCAGGTCAACAGACTTCTGTTCCAGACAGGGATTGGTACCAAGCACCTACATCTTCAGGGAATTTGGATTTAGATCCTAAAACCTGCCCTAACCGCTATGTGCTAGTTGGAACCATAAACCTAATATCCTTTTGCTACTTTAACCTTGCACATTTTAATTTAAATTCTCTTCTTCCTTCTGTCCCCAACCTTGCCTCTCCCTACCCCCCTGTTTTAAATAGTTATCAAGAAATTATTCAGGAACTTCAGCCTGCAGCCCACTCTTCTGGGATTTGGGGAGAAGAGAAAAGAGCTTCTCATCACAACCGAACAGTTTTCCAACTACAACTGCGCCAGTGTGTTGCTTGGGTGGCTCTTCAGGAGGCTACTTGAAAGGCTACCAGACAACCAGCAGTGGCTTCCGTGACAAGCCATTGCAAGAGTATTTTAATGAGAGGCTAATGGAGCTCAAGAACTATGAAAGTAAGAGATCAAACAGGAAGACAAAGGGATTTGCCGATGAGAAACAGAACCCCTTCCTCACCCACAAAGGATGTCGGCGCAGAAGTAGTTGCAGTGCTGTGATACTGATCGGGCATAGCAAGAAAACAGAAGAAACCTGCAACTCAGAAAATCAAGCCAACAAAATAGTGTTGGGGTATAATGGTCAAGAGGAAACACAGAACGTCTTGGACCTCCGCAAGAGTGACTACTTGGACATTTTGACAATGCATATCGTTGCTCCCTTAGAAGCATTCGTGCAGAAAAAAGAGATACAGTAGCTGGCTACAGCTGTTCCTGTAGTCCTCAAAACCAAGAAGAATTGTTCCTGTTCAGTACCATTCTAACTTAAATAGTCCACGTGTGTCAGTACACATTGATATAGATACATGTTTGTTTGTGGGAGGAAATGTTCTCTCATTTTTTGTTCTTGAGTGATGTTGCATGTCTTTGTTATCAATTGTTTTCCACAAAGAATCATTTTAATTGACAAATAATGTCCTGAATTGTTGTACATAGAGATATTAGTATATTAAATGCATGGACATATTACTTGAATTCTTAAATTGCCTTTAAAATAGGTAATTAGTATTAGAGAAGCAGCTTGGTTTCCTATATGTAGGTTTCAGGGCATAGTTTCTATTAATTAATCTGAAGAAAAACTGTTGCGTTCATCTAGTTACTCTGCTTAAGTTTCTTGTTTTTTCTTACCACGTCGCTTTGGCTCATCTCATTTTTACCATGTCACTTTGGCTCATCTCATTTGTGGTGATGTTTTGCACGGATACAATGACTTCATGAGAAATTACTGATCTTCCCTTGTTGCCACATCTCGTAATCAACAGGTGGATCATTGCTGCAGTGTCTGATGCATGAAGAAGCAAACAAAGACTTAAATTTCACTTTTTAATATGGTCAATCATTATGGTTTTATTCACAGACCCACAAAACTTTGACTTAAAAAGTACTTTAAGGACAAAGAAGAAAGAACATGAGATTTTAAGTAAGAATTATGGAAGCAAGTGTGAAGGTAGGCTCCTTGCTTCCTAAAGTAAATGTGAAAGTACCACAGCCAATTCGTAACGGAATCTGGACTTCAAAATGTTTATTGTATTTTATTGTTTATAGTGGTCATCTAAGTTTATAATGTCAGCTGTAGCTGAATTTTTCTGTTATGTGAAATGTCAATGTTTAATTCTGCGATGAACTGAGTGAATATCCGACCCACAGCCAGGTAATTATTGCAAGCTTCCAAAAAGTGCTACTGGCTGTGGTACTGTGGTATCATTAGCAATAAATTCCTCCTTGCAGTGTCAGTTTGAGTCGACATTTTTCTCTTTCCTTCAGATTTATTTATTTTTTGACGTGAGGTAACAAGTAAGGGCAACGGGTGGAATTAGGCATTGAATGCAGCAATTGCAAATTCTCATTGTCAGAATAGAGCAACCACAGGGACGGTGCTCAAAGCTTTCTGTCAAAATCCAAGCACAGAGCCTCCCTGCTTGTAGGTGCGCACCTTGTAATAGGAGTAGCTATGGATGGCTGAGGCGTTTCTGGCTTCTCTTTCTCTTGGGGGGAGCACAGTGAGAGTGGGAGCCTCACCCTTGTGTGCACCTGCCGTTAATACACTGGGACTTCTGCACTGCCTGAAGGGAATTGGAAGCTCCCTTCTCACCACAAACATGCCCCCTCCCCTTTCCCTTTCAAAAGGCACCTTCCTTCTGGTTTGTTTTCACAGGCAGTTTGATGGTAAAGGGCCTCTGAAGATGTGTATTTTCTTCCCTTCAGACCCCCTCCTTTATGTTCTACTTCATCTCTTCGAGTAGAAGGTTAAAGAGGACCTAAACTGGTTTTAAAATGTCCGTCTGGATTGAAAAAGGAGCAAGCATGAAAAAGGCTATTAAATGGGAGCATCTTAAGGGATAGAAGAAGCAAGGCACACTTTCCTCTCATTTCTCCTATATTTTCTCCCTCAGTTTTCCGGACAGCTGAGGTCAGAGCACGTGAATGAATATGTGGAGAGGAGAGAACAAATTGAGGAATTTTTCATGCCCTCCCTCCCTTCTTCCCTAGAGTCAAGCTTGGGGAAGGGAAACAGCTAAGAATCATTCTACATCCCTTTCCCAGGCCCGGGAAAGCACTAGAGCTAGCAGGGATCGATAGCATCTCTAAGTGAACTGAGATGGGATACTGAAAGCTCTTGGTCCTTTGTGTCTGGGAGAAGGTATTGTATATTTAGCCTAAAGGAATTTTTCAGAATTCACAGTTGCCTTACAGCTGCAAACGGAGGGGAGCAGTCAACTAGGTGAGCTTTTTCCCCAAAGGAAAACACATTTTTTTTAGCTTTAAAAGAAGGGCTGAAACACATAATGTATTAGCAGATGCCACAGAGGGGATGCATCTGATTTTCACTGTAAATCTGCAAGAGCTTAGTTTCTCCTCTAGGAGTGAGTGCATAATAATAACACACTATTATGTGAGGGCATAATAATAACAGTACATAAGGACAGAGGAACAATATAAGTGGCACACAGGCAACCTTATTTCTTGCATTTCTTAACTGCATGGCTTTGCACCCTTGAATGTGTTCTTTTAACATCTAGTTTTATAGGACCTTTCCTCCCTACAAGCTTTTTTTAAAAAGATAAACTGCCTACCTTCCTGCTCTTGATATTTTAATCATTTTCACGCCACAATGACACCTAGGTGGGTTATTAGCAGGTATGGAGCATCCAGAGTTTCTCTGCAGACCTCTGCCGAATAAGCTAGGAGCAGAACATGGAGCCCTGCACTGCTGAGGAGTTATGATGTTTGCAAGCAGCAGAGGAATGAACTTTCATTTAATTAAGACAATTCTGTGGTGATAAAAATAATGATGTATAATTTAAAAGAAACTACTTTGAAGGTCAGGTAAAGCCTAACCAAGCCTGTAAAGAGGCTATTCAAACTGCTCAGGCTCTGCAACAGCTACTCTTCTCCACTCAGAACAAGTCAGAGCATCGATTTTTAATAGGCCTAATTTCACTTTATTTTTGACTTCAACTTTATACCAAAAATGTAATAGTATTACAAAACTCAACAATTCAGACTTCGACTTGGCAGAAACTTGTATTGCCTCCTCTCCCAGAAGCATCCCATAGACTTGAAATGACAGTCAGGCCCATTTATGGTATTTTTCAAAGCCCCCTAAAGGATTTAAAAGGTTAACTTCTTAATATTGGATTTCCTTCATAATAATATAATGACTTTTCCCTGAGAAACTGCACATCTTATGCCAGAAATCACAGGAAAAGTCCAAGGAAGATTACATCTCCTGAGAGGGAATATATCTAGATGTCACTGTACGGAAAGGGCATCAAGATATAGAGAGAAAAAAATACTAAGAACTGTTAGAAGAGTAGTAAAATTTCACCTCAAACCCTTTCAGATTGTTAAAATCTTGTGAAAATGGCTTGGATTTGCTTGGGAAGTGTTAATATGCATGACCTGCATTTATGTAGCTAATTACCTTAGGTTTTACTGAGTTTAGCTGCTGGATGTAGCTGCTGCTTTCATGCAGATAAGCTGTTCTCACAATGTTCCTTCGTGAGACTTAATACAAACGCTGTCTGCTATCTGCAGTCTTGCAAAAATATTCTTTATGCCTCTTTGAAAAACTCCTTTTCCTCTTAAAAAAAAAAGTAACTGCACCACTTTCCTGCTGGTGATTTTGCAGCTAATTGGTTATCTTTGTTTTATATCCTTTATGTACAGAGCAGTGAAAAGCACTTTGTTGAAATCTGTTGTTGTTTTGCTCTTGCTCTACACGCTTCCTCTCTGCCTACCTGGAGCTTAAGCAAACTACTCTGTAGGGTGTCTTAAATCAGATGGTGTCCACATTAAAAAAATAGTTAATGTCTTCTGGTGCCTGCGTCCCTCCAAGTGATTTTGTCATCCTCTCCTTGGTACTCATTTTTAAGTTTGCAAAGAGTTGTGTTGGCTGGCACGTTGTAGTGCATCCTATGTAAGACAGAGGAGGGACATCTCAGGCAAAACACAAACCTGTTTTCAGACGAGAATCTGAACTTCCTCAAAATTAGATGCAACCTTGATTTAGTTGCCAATTCCCTCCATCTCCATGAAGATATGATGGAGCAAAAAAGAAAAAAAAAAAAGACTGTGTTATTAAAACATGTAAAGCCACAAAGGCATCTAGCAATATATGAGTTGCATCCCACTCCCACTGAAATCAACTTCAAGCTCTCACGGACTTGAGGAAGCTCTGTTTGAATATATGTCTCGTAAAAGCAAAACATAGTTTTCATGTATTTAAATTAAGGAATTTATTTAAAAAAGCCCAAAAAACAATCAAAACAGTGGTTTGATCTAGATACAGCAGCACTGTGACATTACTAGGACATTATGTACGAAGAATCCAAGCAGCCATAGAACACAGAAGCCTTTATCTTCAGTAACAATCTCAAAATAAAGCTAGTTTCATCAAACAATGTTAAAGATCTCCCTGGAAAGAGAAACAAAATCAAGTAGCCCCCCCGCCCCCAACCCTTTGGATACTAGAATGGTTTTTTTTGTACAATACCAACAGCCACTAGCTCTTCTAATTGCGAACACTTGCTTTACTTTATTATGAAAATGATTTGTTGACTCAATTATGAAAGACAGCTTTTAACATTGCTTTAGAAGTGTCTGCTCTTCTTATATACTACAGTATTAGAAGTGCCTAAAAACATTTAATCCTGGATATGCTCTTGAAATTCAATCAGAAGGATATTCTGTTTATGTTCATATACCAAATATGATTTTTAATTTTTAAAGCAGGTGAAAAGACTAACCCTAATATGAAACGGCAATTTTACAATTTAATTATTCGTCAGATATGGGTAACCACAGGATAGTTCATGAAATCTTTAGGTCTATCTACATTGCTCAGAAACACAAAATAAAGTTTGTACATCCTTCACCTTCAAAAGGCTAAAATGTTAAGTCTTCTAGAAGAGTGTCCAGTATTTAAAAGAAATGCAATCAAGGGAAATTGCATTCAGTACACACCAAGTAACTCATTTGAGCTGGCTAATAAACATATTTAACAGCTGTGGGGTGATGAGGAAGGAAAACGCTTTTGTCATCCAGCCACTAGCTGAAATGTTTCTTCTCTGGGAGTGAATCTTCTTCAGTGGCCTGCTGATTTTCCGGGAAACCTGGAGTTCCCCTTTGGAGTCCTTTAATCCCAGGAATGTGGTTACCTCTTTTGTTTCCATGGATGGGCAGTGAGTTGACTCAATGTTTACCATGCATGCATCATTGTGACTGCTCACAGCATTTCACTTAATTGACGCCTAGGAATTCTGTTGCAGGCTTGGCCCAAAAAGAGAAAGATGATTGTGAAGCTGAACCAGTGAATGTTAAGTTTGTTTCCTCCCTCATAACTACTTATTTCCAATATAAAAAAGAGGAAGTGTTTGTGATTGCTGCAACTACTAGCTAGCTCTTATATAAGAAATGAACACTTGAACATTTACACTGTCATCTTCTGTTGGAGGTGTCTTTACAGAAGTGAAGTGCATTCCATCTCTGAGGAACTATGCAAAACAACAATTAAAAAAGAGCTCTTATTTACAAAAGTCATCTCCCTAGAGTCATGTAAATAAGAGCAGCTATATCAAGCCTACTTCACTTATAATAAAAAAGAGTTTATATTGATCTGTTTTATGCATAGACTACAAAGTGCTTCTGATAAATAGAGAGTGTCCCTCCATGTTTAAGAATGGGAAAACCAAATTGCACAGAGGTTTGCCCAGGGCAGTGAAGAAAAACATGGGCAGAACAGGAATACAATCCACCACTTCTGGCTCCAATACATAAACCAAGGAGAATACTTTTACACAGGCAGTGATACTCATTTTAGTGAACAGGCTGCAATCTCTTTAAAATTGTTTCTTTCATAAAATCCATTTGACAGTACTCTAGCTCAGCTGATCCAATGGCAGCGTCTTGTATTTGTATTATCACAGAGATGTTTGAGGGACGTGAGCATATAATACTGCAGCATGCCATTGGCCTTCTCCTTCTTCAGTGATTTCCCTAGAGGAAAGAATATGCAAAGTTCTCTGGACCAATTTCTTTCTCTTTTCTTTTTGCAGATAAGGACAGAATGGTATTACCAGCCAGCATTGCATAAATGATATTATTAAGTATTTCTAAGAGAGATTGTCTCCCACCCAGCACGTAAAGTGAAGAATTATTTTAAACTTATGTACTCTTCTCTCAAGTTTAGCACAAGGGTGGTAGTAGTTATTATTTTAAATGATTAGGAGCATTTTAAATTGTATTTGTGGAACATTTCACACTGACAGCTCTGGAATCTTCTGTTTTCCTTGTAGTCATTGAATGAAAATAGCTTCTCCCAGTCTTCACTGCCAAATGTACCTCCCTGCAGCCTGAGACACTGGAAAAATCCTCAGCAGGAGAACCTTTTTGTCTGTTCACCACTGGACTTCTCTGCTGCGGGGCCAGACAAGAAGGCCAAGTGGTGTTTTTATGAAGATGGCACCTGTTACTTAGGTATTGATTAATTTTATTCTGGACTCGTCGAGCTTCTGCAGCTCCTTTTGTACTTCATGCTACACGCATTAAGGAAGAGGGTCTAGATCCCAAGGAACAGACTAACCCAAGAATGTTCATTCAAAGCAAAATCCGTTCTTTTCAAAGACTGTATGGAAAATGCCTGGAAATGTCTGATCAATGATCTCATCTGCACTAAGACACTTAACAAATGAATATTACAAATCTGAACAGTAAACAGTGACAACTAACTGTGGACCAGCGGTTGAAACAGCCATATCTTGTCTACAATGAAATCAGATTTTATGGTCCAGATCTGAGCCACTCATCCCATGGATGTCCATGAGAAGCAGCAGCTGTGCTATAAAGGTGTGCATTTCATTTACTACTCTTCCAAAAAAGTCTACAACAAGAACTCCCTGTTGAGGCTCAGATACGTGGGAACACCGATCTGTGCAAGGGCTGTTCATACAGGCTGAATGGGCACCTACTTGCCTCTTTGAACTGTTACAGCTGACTTACTCACAAAACCTGTATTGCCTTTGAGCCGTGGGCCAGACCCTCTACTTCGTATGACCTTGAGTAATTTCAAGGTACTCTAGAAACTTTGGGTTACATAAGATCTACCAAGGAAGAATGTGAAGTGATGCATAGTAACAGCCATTTCACACTTCATAACGAACATACACACATTGAGATAATGTAATTATCTTAATTCAGTGCTCATGGCCTCTCTGTCTTTTTTTTTGAGCTTCTCCTGCTTTTACGGGTATTATGGACTGGTTTTCTGGATTTCGTTTTAGCTGAGCCATCATGATTGAAAAATATTAACAGCAACTGGATTTGAAATGTAAGGCTTTGACAGATAAAGAGTCCAGTTTGGAGTCTGAGTTCTAGTGGAACAAAATTAAGAATCAGTGTCTTAGAGCAAGACACTAGCAATTTAGTAAAGTTTGATTACCTATTGTTTATGGCACAGCAGTGCTATAGCTTCTGGGGGAGATGATGACTCTAAATTGAGACAATCAAATTGTTACAGGTACCTGGAAGTGCCTCTGAACTGTCAGTTACCAGCCAGCTGTAACCAGCAGGGCCAGACAAAAACTGCAATATGGAATTCTGTAGTTCACTAACATTCAGGCTGATCTCCAGTATCTGTTTGGTTTGATTATCTTCACACCTTTTCTATCTTAACACACACGTTTCTGTTCAGAAACAATATCTGAGTCACAGCCATGCTTGTAAAACAATCTATTTCTAGATAATCCAGGTCAAGGGTGTGTATGAAAGAGTTTATTATTTGGCATTTTTCCTTCAGTCTTCATATGTCTAAAAAGTCTATCACCCAACCAGAGTGCAAGAAGAACGCTACAAGGCTTAAGCGAATCTTGAGGTGCCATAGAAGATGAATAGAGAACTTTTGAATCATAAAACCCATAGACTAATAAATGCTTGTCAGACTACTTAGTAAAGACTTAACAATAACAGACTTATTTGCACAGTTCAGGATCAGTAGGCAGAAGTTTTCCAATTATTAAAAAGACCTAAATTTGCTCATCAATCTATTTAAAACAAACAACCAGATCTGAACTTGTGCATTTTTCAGAATAAACTGTATTGTAATTGGGAAGATGATATAGAAAAATAATCACGCTGGAAAGCTATTAAACAACTACTCCTTTCTACTCCTTTCTTATGCACAAAGCCACCGCAAAAACTGTTCACGCTGAATCAAAATACTGCATACTCTCTTGTAAATGCTCCCCAAGGTTGTACGATGAAATTAGAAGCCTATTTTTTCCAGAGTTGCTGAACACCCATGGCTTCCAGTGTTTTTTCAATGCAGTGTAAATATTCGACTCCACAGAAACAAATTCCAAGTGTCTGTGGGAGCCTGGATGTGCAGCAGATTGCCTCAGCAGGGTTTCAGCTCTAGAGCTGCGTGCTGAAATTGCACACAATGGAAGTGAAGGACATTGTGTGGTCACACAATGGAAGTGAAGAACTGTGAGATATCCTGGTCTTGGGTGTGAATTTGTGAGTTGAGCTGAATAACCAAAAAAAAAAAATCCATAAAGCACAATTTTTTTATTGTAGGCAAACTCTAACCAAAAGAGTCCCAGTTTGTCTGATTGTATGATACTGATTGAACCTCTCAGGTCCCAGATACTGAAAGTGTATCACAATACTGTCATCCAAGCATCATAATACTGTTAAAAGTTTTGCAGACTTCAAGGAAACAGCATGAAATCTCCCCCTTGGTCTTGTTGTCTGTCTTTCCCTTCACTCACTTTCTGCTGCCAAGGGGCTGGGACTTCATTGCAGGGTTGACTCTTTAGCACAAGCTGGACATAAGAATCCTTCTTCCATATCATCTTGAGGGTTCAGGATACCTAACCGTAGCATAATCTCCTCCAAGTATTTACAAGCTCTTGGGACTCACTGAACACAGATCTAGTCCACTCCAGGATTTTGCACTGTCCTTGTGTTCCCACTGCTAGAGTTCTAGAGGTGCTGAGTAGGGAGCTGTTCCAGTGTAAGGACAGCAAAGGGCGCAGAGAGGAGCTCCCCTCTCGAGATGGACGTGGACCAGGGCACAAGCCTGGCATCCTGGCTACAGTCATACTGAGAGAGAGTATCCATATCCAATAATCACATCATTTGCTATCGTTCACTGTTGTCATATCAAAAAGTCACCCACCACTAGTTAAGACTGATCATCTAAGAGGTATATGGCCATGTACAATCTGTTTGCAATTTGCTCATCAGCTTTCAGTAAAGGGTTTGTTATAATTAGGATTTTATTTCCCAAATAGGAGATGGTAAAAAAAAAAAGAAGAAAATTTAGTCTTCGTGTGCCAAATTGCTAACATGTAGAAAATGAACCTCTTGGGTGAAAAGCTGTGGCCTTATTACTTTATCCCATGAAACACTGAGGAAACATGAAACATGGGCTAAGCTTTCCCACACCCCCTTTTTTTCTCCCCCAGAGTGGTAGGTATCTATTATCAGCCACATTTTTCTGATGGGAGAATATGTTTCTCTGTTGCTGCAAAGTGAGATAAAGCCAGTGGTGGAACGAGAGCTTAGTCCTATGCTCTAGCTGTCACCTAGCATCTATGCACAAGATGAAGTCATCTGGGAGTGCACAAACATACTGCATACCATACTGTTAATAGGTGATGTCTTAGAGTGATTAAAAACAGATTAGAGTTGCATGACACTAGCACTCGTCCAAGAACTGTGTGTCTTGTCTCAGTTACCCTGATACACATTAGTGGTTTGGCTAAGATCTGTTCCTCCACTTCTCACCTACGTTTCTTGAAATCAGGTGAAATCCCATGTGCCACTGAAGGAAGCCAGTGAAAACCTCCCAGAGCAAGTATATCTTCATCCAAAGCATGTTAAAATGACTGATCAGGTTCTTCTTGTAGCTTTACATCAGGCTATGAGAACAGAGATAAAGGTAACAGCCCCTATAGGCATAGTTGCTTTCACCCCTGTAATATTTCATTCCCTTCCCGTCAGAAAGCTGAAACCACTATAGTTTCAGTTTATAGCTGATCCAGAGAGAAAATTACTCAAAATTTTCATCTACTCCTCTCTCCCTAGAGTCTTGCACCTTGCCTAAAATCTGCAATGCCATCATCTGACATGGGAGAGTGGCTGAAGCTCTCCCTGAGCACCATCTACACTGGGCACAGGAAATTCCTGGCCATGCTGACCTGAAGGAAGAAGGGGAATGTATGCTTGGTAATATTAGGGCACACTAACAGAACTTCTCTGCATGTCTACCAGTGACCAAGAAAACTGGAGGCTTTTGGAATGAGGTATGCTTTCATTTTAATACACTTTGCTTCTGATAAAGGCGCCCAAGCCCCGTCTCCCTTTGACTTTTTTCTGCCAGCTGCTTTGGGCAAATTCTGACCCTGTTTTATTTCTCTCCCTCATGACCTCAGGCTGTTTTAGTAATTCATGTCACTTTCTTATTCATAGCTTTGCTACTACTAACCTGCACCTTCTTCCTTTCTCCAGTGGCCAGAGAGAACCTATACATGACAGTCTAATGAATTTCGGCTACTTAAACTTCTGCTGGAACAGTGCTTCCTAGTCTCCTGGGATAGCTGCACTAGTAGCTAACAGAATTTTAGACGTACCAGGCTGACCATCAGATGTTCTTCTTTGACCTAAAAGTGTAAAATGATCATTCCAGTCTAGCCACCACTGTAAAGAGCATGGTGAACCAACCTATTTCACAGAACACTTTGGACTATGTAGACCCTGTCTGCACTTGGAGGACAAAGGTCTTCCAATTCCTTTTGCGTGAAGGAATGATATTTCATATCGGATCTGGCATTCGTAACAATAGATACTGGCATAATTGAGAAGAATATAATTCTGGTGCTTGAGGTATTGCTGCTGATCCTGACTGGTCCTATTTATACTAGTGGGAAGAATGTTTTACACAATGGTTAAAGGGTCCTGGACAAAGAATGATGGAGCCAAAAGTGGGAGCTATTACTTCATAATTGACATTTTATTCAATTAAGCTGAGGACTTAACTGAGGGGACGAGCCATGGTATGTTTGACATGACACTTCACACATAAAGGAACCCTAAGTGCAGACACAACCTACAGGTTCTAGTCCTGCTCAAAAGCAGAGATGGGTCAAAATAAAAATGGATGTGATGTGACATAAACAGCTCAGATCCCATTCTGAACCTCCAGAGCTCAGCTCTAGAAAGCTGACATGAATCTCATGGTCAGAACAAAACAGACTACTGAATTTCTCTCCTGCTACCTGTTGGATACCAGCAACTGTGGAAACGCCTTGAATTTCTGACTTTAACACTGATATCACTTTGAATTTTGCTCTCATTTTAGGGGGTGCAAGTTTCAAGTCCTTGAAAAATAAATGACCAGCTGCTTTCCTGGTCACCTCTCACTCAATTTTGTTCTTTCTCTCATTAGAAACAGCACAAAAAAGTGTTGGAAAAGGACTTAAAACAAGGTTCCCTTTCAAACCAAAAAATTTGTGATGACCTAACAACATAAGTAAGTGCAAATCTCAGCTGTGCTGGTCCCATGACATCACAAACCTTAGGCATAGCAAGTAGTATTCTTGAACGCATCAAAGCCTTATCAGTAGCTTTTAGCATTTAATGCAAGACATTACAAATTAATGAAGTGGAGAAATGTATGCAGTGTTGCTGTAAACCAAATATACAGATGTAAAACAATTAAGAATAAACTGTTCCATAAAAATGCATGTCAGTAAAACCCAGTCTGATAAAGTGGAATATGAATAATTTTCTAGAATTACTAAAAAGAACAATTTCTCATTTGAGGCTCTGGAAGTCTTGAGTCACATTTCATTTTCTTTTAAAAAAATGTCTTAAAACACATGGCTTTACAGCTGCTGCTTGGAAAATATACACCTCCAAAGTCTGACTTTCATTTAAATACAAATGTACAAAATGTAAACTGAGACAATAGAGAAATTTACAAAACTTTTCTTTAAAAATAATAAAGACAAAATTCAGTTCTAGCATGATGCTATTTAAATACGTGCAAGTAGTCATGTTCATTGAATTTCTATTGCAATGTTCTAAATAGACAAATTTGATTCACACAGTCTTGAGTGCCACCTCCAAAAACAGACCTGAGTGGAAATTTCTTCTTAAAATGTGAGGCTCCACTGGAAGGAATGGATAGAAAATCTCCATTTTGGGGAGATCTTTTTTTTTCACTCAATGGTGGATGCGCTCTCATCCATAGAAGCTCCATAGATTATAGTGGAAGGATGCAACATGTTGTTTCATAAAACTCAGTTGGAACTAGCTGCTTCCAGTGGAGTTTGAACTTACATGATTTGAATTTATGTGGTGATTTAAACTGGCCTTTGAATTTGGAGAACTCTTTGAATTGTTCTGATGCTGTAGGAAGAAGAAAACAATGACAATCAGATTCACAAAACATCCCACACTTTCTTTTTACCAACGTTGTTCATTTTATGGTCCTATTGCACCGACTGTACTGCAAGATTTTTGTTTGAACAACACTGGATGTAAAATATTCTTCACTTTCTTACCTCTACTCTTTCTAGGTCAGGGAGACCATGGGAGTTCTTGAGAAATGCAGAAAGGAAGACACAACCAAGCTTCAGGATTCAATTCAACACACTGCAAAACGTCAGTATCTGCTAAATCTGACTAATGATAATGAGGATACCTGCCATTGCTTAGGCATGGCTTTAACCCTACACAAATACCTTGATCTAAGAATGTTACTTGAATTTGGAAACGGTACCATGGGGCCTCATGAAAGCTCTGTGTCACGTAGTCTCTGGTCTGCTCCCCTGTCTAGGGGCTTGGTTTCCTGCCTTGACCACCTCACTCAACTTTTACATTTTCATTTTTTTTAAACACATAAATCAAAGGTTTTTACAGGGAACCTATCAGAAACATATGACCATTTTCAAAACGTTTTTATTAAAAAACCTAGCATACCACTGAAAAACAGTTTGGGTGGGAAGTTTTCAAGCGCTGGAAACAAATACGATGAATAATCCTGGGACTTCTAGTAGTAAAAAGTCACAAGAGGTAGAGGGGAAATCTGGGACAGGCAGTATTAGTCAGGAAATTACCAGGAAACTGTGACAGCCAGCTCTCTCTAAGACATTGTGCCTATCTCCTAGCAGAAATACCACCAGAACATGGCTGTGACACTGGGCATCTGTACTATGGGAGGTCCTTGTGTTAGTCATAAAAGATCTCACCTGTCGTTTAAATATTCTCTGTAGCAATCCTTTCTTGGGTGGCTCTGGGGGGTAGCTTTTATTTAGGTCTGGTGAAATAGTACCATTTGGTCCAAACACATTTAGTTCTTTGAAACACTCTGTTTCTATCATCTAGTGAAATACAATAAAATAGAAAAACAGAAAGAAAGAAGTGATCCATCAGCATTAAATATATTCCAGTAGTGCTAGGTTGTTCAAAGTCAGGTTCAGGATCATCAGCTGCTATTAACAGCTTGGCAACGTGTTAGGAGAGTTAACAGCTGAATTCCTGATGGTGGCTACAGAAGGTAAAGGGGATATAGGAAAAAGAGAGGCTAAGTCAGCTCTATATGTTTGCACATTGGCACAAAAAGACTTCTAATAAGAAGTGGCCTGATAAAGCTTTCTATTCTTTTCTTCATTTCTCTGGAGAATATTAGGTAAAGACAGACACACTCACAAAATGCCAGTTATTAGCACTGCTCCACCAAGGGGATCTGGTGTTTGATCCTCACTTGGATTATGAACTCAGCATTTGGCTCTGTTTTCAGAGCAAGGACCCAAGTCTGAAAACCCTGGAGCAGTTCAAGATCCAGAGTCAATTAGTGCAGCTGGGACCCACTGCAGGTACAAAACAACAGGACCAAAAGTGGAGGAGGCTCACACTAAGACTGCCATCCCTCCTGAGGAAGTTCTCCAGAGCTGTTGTCAAAATGCCTCGGTGAAAATCGAGGAGAAGGAAGTTCAGTAGGATCCTTGCCAATTTACACAGCTATACAGAGCCAACAGATACAGTCACCTGAACCTGACATCTGTGGTATATTACAGATTTTGAAAGAGTCCATTTGTAACTTATGAAAGCATTAGAGTCTGGCAAGTTAGCTGGTAGCTATATATTACTGGAAATGTACAGCTCCTCTTAAACCATCTGTGTTAGGGGCTTTATTGGGGCAATTACACCATGATACATCCTTACCTCATTTTGCCATGGAATAGAGACTGATCCTGTGGAAAACTTGGAATAGAAATCATCATCTGTTTGGTCCAGGTTTACTCCTTTCACTGTGGAGAACTGCTCGATGTCTAACACATCCTTGCAATATACTGCTCTGGGCTATCTCAGAAGGAAAAAAAAACAACAGGAGAAAAAAATATTTCTGAATCTGACCATGTGCTTTTATTCACAGATTCAGTCAAGTGGGAACGCCTAACAACAAGTGACTATTTGCTTCCTACTTTTCAAAACTTGCTCTGCCCACATGTTTATCATCAAAGACCGAGTTTGCTTTAAGCTTGTTAGGCATCCTACTTTGAAGTCCTTAAAGCATCAGCACAGCCAAAGTGGGTTTTAGTCATCCATGTAGCATATGGCTAAGAGGTGGGGGAATAAGAACAGAAAGAGTAAAAAAACCAAAAATCAGTATTTCAGGAGTCTTTTCTTTTAGAGAGGGAACAAGAGGAAAATAGAAATGTTTACGAACGACACACTGGAGAGGGCTTTGAAATGGTACCTCAACTAGAACCGTCATTCTGCTCAGACAGATGTGGGTTTTGCAGCTTGAAACTTTAAAGGAATGTATACTAATTGCTAAAGAAAACAGAAGAGGTTTGGCATTTTTCCATTGTTTTTATTAATAGCTCAGCTGCTGGAAGCTGGCCAGGATCACCTCTATTAACTCTCTTAACTTGGCTGCATTTCTTCAAACAAATAGCCAAACATCTTTACCTTTTTTAAACTACTTAATTTTCCGGGATGGCAGGCAGGACTCTTTGCAGTGGCACTGCTTTTAGCTCGCATTCCAGCAATCAACCATAGAAAGCAGAAATATCGTTATCGTTACAGTTAGTGTGGTCCTGTGCATGCCTAGAGTGTGCCCATCGGCAGCACAAAGTTAGGCCTTTGAGGCACAGGAGTACCTGAGGGGCAGCTGGTGGGACTGCCCGACCTGCAGAGCTCAAGCGTATGTTGAATTCTGCTCTCTTTGCCTGGTAACATGACTCTGAACCCAGGGGTCCCGCTACACAGTGTTTTATCTAGAACTGAGCAGGGTGACCAAACCAACCAAACTGATTCCTGCCGGAAGACTTATTTGCTGGAGGCTGCAGCTCTCCACACCTCCAACGGCTGCAATCCACAAAATTCTTGTGGAGACAGAGTAGTCTAGAAGAGGATGGAGAGACGTGGGTCAGATTACAACCTCTGCCACTGGCTATATAGCTTTGGGTGATTCAGTTGACTTTCAGTAAAGACTTGGAAACCTACGGGTGAAGTGTCGAGTAATTTAAATTAGGGTCAGCTCTCGAGTTCCCAATAAATAGCCATAAAAATTTATGTGCCTCTGCTTTAGCAAATACATCTATAAGAGGTGCCTTCTAGCCCTTACATGCCAGAGTTAAGCTTTTAATACACTCTGGTGAATCCCAGATTTGAGCCCAGAATTTTCTAATTTTCTACATCAGAAAGAAATAGTAGCTTGTCTCCTGTTTCTTCCCACTGAAGCAGGTCATAACAGCATGGGCTAATTGGCAGGGATAACTAGGCCACATAGTAAAATGTAAAGCAAAACCAGAGCAGCTAAAGTAAACTGTTGTAGCTTTCAAACCACTTTGGTTTGGTTGAGTTTGCAGCAACGTGAATGAGAGCTGCCAAGATGTTACTTTTGTTAATATGTTAAAATGGCAGTGTTTACTCAAAACCATATGGAAACTTTAAGGATAGAAGGCCTAGCCAGAAAGACAGGCCTGTAAGGAGGAAAATAACCAGATAATTCTGTGCACTGCGATAGAGACCTATACCACAAAGGGGTGGAAAGTTTTGCTATTGCCAATGCAACCAAGACTTTCAGTATGTGCGAGATGGGTGTGTAAACCTGAGGGAGGAGGTTCCACTTCCCATGAACACTAAGAAGACCAAAATGCTATCTCAGGTGCAAGCATTCTGTCCTAGTGCTTGATATCTGAACCTGGTTTGGGCTTTCTGCAAGGGGCGCCTGTTTTCATAACGATCAGTCCTTTCCTCAGTTCCACACAGCTTTGGTCTTTTAACTTCGGGTCTCACCTCTGGTACATATATCTATGTACCATCTATATGTATATCTATACATGTGGCGTACATTGCTGATTTTTCTGATTGCCATCTGCTTCTGATCGTACTTTTTCTTACATTACTCATGGATAAGTGTGGGAACTGAGGCATGAGCAGATCAAGTGGTGTCTCTAGCATCACACAGGAAGATGGTAGTAAAGTAAGTGAGACTGAATCAAGGCCCAGGTTAACACCTTAACTACAGGCCCACCCATCCTGCATGCACACACATGTCTACAGACCAGCTCTCCTCTCCCCACAGCCTCCACGCTCCTGCTCCACTGCTTGTCACATCATCCCATGGCTCCTATCCATAGAAGCCAGCTCTAAAAAAGGGATGTTATTTCAGGAATAAATCTGTAACGGGCCAGTGGATGTTCCCTCCACTGTACTCACATCAGGGACAAAGGGAGGATCCAGCATTCCTGCTTCTAACCGCTTGAAATTCATGCTCTTGAAAAAGGGGTGTCTCTTCACTTCTGCTGCACCTTCCCCTTGACATCCCAGTCGCTGCTTCAAATCTTTGGTGAGGAGCTGAAACATGCCCAGAGGAATGGTAAGGAAGTTAGAAAAGTGAGAACCTCACAGTGATATTTTTATCTCTAGGATTGGTTTTTCTTTTTTTGGAATGTGTCCAGAGAGGAGTACAGAGGGGAACTGTAATTGTTGTTATTTAACGGCCAAAGTTAAATGGATTAGGATCCCACTATTCTAAATGCCAATCATGAAAATTACCTGCTGTAAAGTATTTACAATCAAAACAGAGACTGCTTCTTCCTTTTACTTTCAGCGAGCACTTTGGAGAGGAGATCTGGCATACCTTCATAACACATATATAGAAATACACACTCACACACACACACACATATCCACATACATCTATATGTATTCATAAGTTCCCATGTGATTTTTCTTTCTTTTTTTTTTCATGTTACTCTTGCCATAATCAGTTTCCTGCATTGTTTAGGCTGGGTTACTTCACCATCAAATTGGATTTTCCCCTACCCACTGCAGTATATTCCAGTATATTACATCAGGCACTGACCCAGTCATTTTTATTCACTAGCCTAGCTCTGTAGAAGTTAAGGGGAGTTTTGTCCATGGATCTACACGGCTTTGCCCAGAAGAATATTCAGTGCACCAGTGTTAGTAACTATCCTTAGTTCAGCCTTGCTTGTGTTAAGAGAAAGGCAAGTGCACCACCTCTATATGCTACAGCGAGTCCGGTCTGCTTCCTGGGTACCCTTTATGGAGCAACAGAGACTTACTCAACTCAGCATCCTTGGCCCATTGTATAAAGAGGCCCACACAAACACAAACACACAAAGCGGGTAGCAAGTAAGGACCAAAACTCCTGGAGGACCTTGTGTGTAAGATCAGCTGGCTCAGTGGAAGACCAGTACTGGCACTGACTAGTTGGTGGATGGGGAGACAGAACATACGGGCAAACCTTGACCAAAATGCCTCTTCTTTTAAATCATATTCATAGACTCAAATGAACCAAATCAATCATTTAATAGATGGCATCTAACAGTTGAAGAGAAACAGAGCTCAGCGTGCAATGACTGGTGCAAAAAGATCATCTCCACCTGGGACAGGGGCTTTTTTAAACGTACCACTGACTTCAGGCACTCTGCTGAAAAGCGAAACCAAGTGTGGTTCATGGATTTGTTTCCTTTTATTCCTTCCATTCATCTCTGAGGCTGCCTGCACAGACACTTTCTTAGCTAAAGCAAGGGCTAAAGCTCTTAAAAGTTTCTTCGCTTAAGCAGGGGCTAAGGTAGCAGAAGAATAACTCGGGACTCATTACCCTCTGCCCAGAGATTTCAACTGCCGTTACAAACGCGCGCACCCCCCTCCCTGCTCA